TTGTTGTTTAATTCGAATCTTTCATGGATAATGTGTTCGTTGCTTGGTTTGAGTTAAGAGATAGAAATCACTTAGATAAACGATCGTCTTACTGTGAATTTTCCGCACTCTTTTGAGTTTCACGGGATAGACAAATTATCTTCGTACTTTCTTGTTTGATGGTTGCATTAACGAAATTTGCTTCATCTACGAGATTGCTATCATTTTGGATTTTTTCTTTTTTCATTTTATTCCAATTACAAAATTTATTTCTCTCTCTAAAAACCCTATTCTCTTGCTTCTCTCTAGACTATATGTCTGGAACCCTACTCTTGTCATGGCGGCCAAACGGCTGCCAGACGACACTAGCCAAAAGCTTCCATCATTCGCTCAAATCTTGGGTGGTTCCAAGACAAATCCTCGTTCTATCATCAACCCTTCAGGATCTCAAACTGCCGCACCATATATTCAATTGAAATCTTCAGTCTTCAAAGGGGAACCATTGTTCCTATTGTCGAAGGAAGAAGATGAAGCCCGCGCTCCCTTCAAGCTTTCATTAGTTTGCAAATTCTCCAAAGGCAGACCAAAAATGGATTTTCTTTGGCACCAATTTCAGAAAATTGGATTCAAAGGTAATTACTCATTAGGCATGATTGATCATATATATATTCACATACTTTTTGATCTTGAAGAAGACTATAATCGATGTTGGATTAAGGGAATTTGGTCTTTTGATCATCATATGATGCGGGTGTTAAAATGGACTCCTCAATGAACACTGAGCATATGAATCCTCCATTGTTCCCGTATGGATCGCATTTGAAGGGTTGCCTATTCACTGATTTAACGAAGAGTACCTCAGCAAACTGGCATCAATTGTTGGCACGCCCCTTAAGATTCACGTTCCAACACTAAATCTGTCACGACCGTCAATTGCTCGTGTTTGTGCAGAGATAAATCTTCTTCAAGAACTACCACAAAGAGTGCTTCTGGGTACTGAAGAATTCTCATATTATTAGGAGATCACGTATGAAAATCTACCGGAATACTGCACGACATGTAAAAAGGTGGGACATGGAGCTAAGACTGCCGTCGGGGAAAGGCTTAGGCGCCTTGGCCTTCGGTTGTGAATGATCCAAGCAAAGAAAAAGAGAAATTAAAATCAAAGGTTCAGTTGCTCAAGAAATCTGGAAGTCAAACACTACAACAACAAGGCTGAATAGGGACACTCCGAAGCGTCCCGTTACGCTATCTATAGGGACGAATGCATATTTGGGACACATGTAATTGCGTCCTCCAGCTCAACGTCCTATTAGGTCCCTGGGACGTTTACTTTCATCCCATTTGAAGAAAGTGTCCCAATAAATAATCCAAATTGGGACAGTTTTTAAGTATCTCAATAATCTATTTTCTAATGAGACACTTCAATACGTCCCCATATTATCTCCAAAAAAATATATATATATGTCCTTGCGTATTAAGGGACACTTCTACGAGTCCCTGTATATATTGCAAATTAAATCAACCTTTAAAGTAATGCTTAATAATGACCAAAATGTATAAAAGAAAAAAAAATTAGAATTACAAATACCCAAAATGTAGAGTATATTATTACAGAATTTTCACTTTACATAGCAAATAAAAAGGAACAAATCTCAAAGACTTAACTATGCATTACAAATTAGATTGTTTCCTAAAGTAGCTGCGATACTACTAATAATGTTGTAAATTTACAAGCAAGTCTCTCATCAAGAAGTAAAAACAAAAGAGTGCCTCTTGATCTCTAAGACTCCAGTGAATAAAAGGAGTTGTCCACCAAAATCAAGTAGCACCACCGATAATCACCTGTGGAAAGATCCAAATGTACAAAAGGATATGGAAATACGAACTTAGGAAATGGATGAGCAAATTAATACCTAGGTAAGCAAACAAAAATTAAAGTAGCAATGATACTCCCTATCACAAAAAAAAAAAAGAAGCTCAGATCAAGCACTATGTATGTTGAAGATTAAGTAGCAAAAAAGTTTAACTATGTCAAACTACAAAGGTACCAAGAAACAAAAAAGACAATGCAGCCATCATTCACATTAAAACCTTGCAAATATACACCAATCCCACTAAATGCACTAATAACAAAAGACTTGGCTATCGTTTAATAGAGAACACCTTCACGCACCAGAAATTTCAATTACTAAGTATTTAATTTCAGAACTTTACCTTGCAAGAGTAACATCTGAAACGCATAGCTAGAGCAGAGAATTGATGAACTTAAGTGGAATGACCCCTACATTGCAAGAAAAAAGAAGAAAGAAAAAAAACAAAACATGATAAGCTATGCAAACTCGCAAAGGGGTATCACAGTTGGTGTCAAAACAAACCTAGAATCAGGGAACCATGCTAAACTACAGCAAATTGCAATACAGTTTACTTATGAGTCAAAAAACACTCGAAAACTAAGACAATAATAAAACAAATAAATGGAAAATGACTTCTCAAATAATGCAAGATTAAAAAAGAAAGAGACATGAAGAACCGTACAGTTTTCGTTTATCATCTACTTGTAGCTTCTGCTGTCTAAAAGTATGCTGATTATTACAAGGTCTGAAGCATTTTAGTCACAAGTGCTTATGTATATGAAAAATGTGCAAAGCATCATCCAACACAATAATAAAAGGCAACATTTTTCTAAGCATATAAATATGTCTATTGGAAAGAAACAAGTGAATCCTGTAAGGACATATATCTAAGTAATTTATCTCAAATACATTAAAGATCACTTTCACTCAAACAAGTGGAAATTAAACAAAACAACAATTCATGCAAATAAATAAATTCTCCATTTAAGAAAGAGAATCCACAAAACTATAACTAATTGACATGTTGAAGACAATCAGTTAGCTTCCGTTTTATTTACCTTCTTCTTTTTTTAAACAGAAAAGTATCAAACTTTTTTGACAAAATGGGCTGAACACTGAAATTACTAAAGATTAAATTTCACACAAGAAATGACTTACTGTTCCCCAGATAACTGAGAACCCATATATGAGTTTCCTTAAGTTTTCTAATTACTAAGCTGGTCTTTTGACAGTATCTTCTAAACCCCTGGAAGTATTGCCCCAGCAGAAAATAAATTGGAAAGAACTAAGGTGTCAAGATTGGTGGTAACAATAAGGTTACTGCAAGTAGTGTCAAACCAATGGGAATTAGAGAATCCCAAACTTCTCACCGGCCTTGAGGTCTGTTCTTCATCGGTGTCCCAATGTAGCCATGGCGTTTAGAAATCCCCACCGAGCTTGTACTTAGAGCAAGAAGTGTTCTTCCCTTTCTTCCAAAATTTTCCATGGCGCATGAAGAGCACACCTCCATCGCTCCAATAAAATCTGAAACCATCTTCTAAGGAGAGAAAAAAACTTAATCGAAAACTAGATCTGGCCATAATTGGTCTAGATCTAAAAATTTAGAACACAAAGAAGAAATTTACTAAGTGCGTGCTGATCGTGGAGCAAAGAAGGTCGGCGAATAGATGAGGAATTAAAACCCCAAAAATTTTGGTCGAATTGTGGTGGCGCAAATTCCCCTCTTTCAGGGTTGAAAATGGGGAAGGAATTAGGCATTCGAACTTTCTGTACAAAAATTATAAAACACCTCTTCTAGTCCTTTTATGTCAAAAGAAAAAGAAAAATGGCGCCCCATTTTTGGGGTTAAAACCAAATTCCCTCTTTAACATTTTGTTTCCCTCCCTATTGTAGTTTCACTTTTGTTTTATTTTTTTTAGAAAAATATTGACTATTGTTTTTTAACACTTTTTTTTAATTAGTTATATTAAAATGGATTTATTTAATACATCATTTTATTTTTGGAAGTGATATATTTGGATAATAAATTGAATCCTCATGAACAAAATGCACAAAACTTATAAATTTGAAATATAATTTTATTTTCATATTTTGTGTAGATATTTGAATCTCAATAATGGAAAGATATAGCACATTTTTATTGTGAGTTCGTAGTGTTGTTATATTCTATCTATACATTTTGAAAAACATGACATGACAATCAAATTAATGTTGAACTAATGCATAATGATTTAAAAGACATGTGGATATATATTACTTTCTCTATCATAGAAAAATAGTTCACGCTGAATTCTCAAATTTGTAATAAAACTAATACAAATCTCAAAATCTAATTTGGATAAAGGGAGCATAACAAATAGTAAAACAGATAGCCACGTATTAACGATAACTATTATGTAGTAAGACATTACTAATAAATATCATAAAAGCACAAACATACATAATAAGAAATTAACGCTTCACAGATATGTTATGGTCTTATATCGTGACTACTTATATAATATACTAAGTAGTAATACAAACATGACAAATTTAATTGAATGTAAACAATTTCTGTCAAATTTGACCATGAAACAAATTAGAACATGTTGTTACCAATGTTACGAATCACAATAACTGTTTATGCCATGTTTACAGGGTTCAAGCGCAATCCGTTTAGTTATACATCTCAATCTTATTAACTAACTGTGCATCTAATAATCGAAAACAAAAAAAGATAGGGACTGTTTAAAATGTTACGGGACAAAAAGATAATCATTAAAGTGAAATACTAGCATATTTTAAACTTTTATAAACATGATAATAATAACTAAACAAGTCGTATATGGGGTAGTTTTGTAAATTTTAGGGTGTCATAGTAGCTTTGTCAAAAACTTAAATAACAAAAAAAAAATTAAAAAAATTACAAGACCATAATTGATAGGACACTTTTTAATCGTCTAATATAACACTTAATAAGACGCATGTAAATGTCCCAGCCTATATTGGGACACATTTTTAATGGGATGCATTTATGCATCCCTTTAGATATTTATAATGAGACACTTAGACTCAAGTGCCTCAGTAAATTTTTTTGAGATACTTGACATAAAAGTGTCCCAAAATATGTGTCATATTAGGAGGGTTTTGTTGTAGTGAAAACCACAAGTCAATATAGAAAAAGAAATGGTCAGCTCAATTGATCACAAGGCATCATCGTCTGGTTTATCGACTAAGGAGAAGCAGGATACACCCATTGATCTTGCGGACCAAAGCCCCTCAAATCCGTCGTCAGGAAAACGTCGAGTTTCTAAGGAGAAGCTCGCGACGATTCTAGAGAATAGTAAAGAAGAAAAAAAGTCTGAAACTTGGGATGCTCAGGAATCAAAACAGAAATTAGAAGATGAAAGTGGTTTGAAACAACGAGTTGTTGTCTGTAAACAACTCGCTGTTTATGTTCCAAATGTTGATTTTTCTTTGCGATTTGCTGTTGTAGAAGAATTGACTGATGATCAAGGTTTGGATAACGCTGCCACTGTTGTTAATGAAGAAGAGACTCGAGTAGATGGGATTCTTGAATTTGAAACTGAAAATGATTTGGAAGGGGATGAGAATATTCAAGAAGAAGGAACATTGTTGATGAATAATTTGTTGGTAGCGGACAAACGGGCAACTGATGATACAGCAATTGGTTCGTCTTCTGAGTTAGTCGAATATGAAAATGCTAGAATTGTAGTGTCTGACGGAGAGGGTCAAAAGAAATCAAAAAAAGGCAGGCCAAAGGGATCAACAAAAAAGCCTCAAACTCAAACAGAAACTCGTAAATCTACGAGACTCAATGGTGGTTTTTCCCTCAATGTTTCTGATGAATAATCAACTCATATGGAATATATGCGGAGTTGGGATTAAAGCATCCCGACGACGTCTCAAAAATTTGGTTAGACAGCACTCTATTTCCTTTGTTGTTTTGTTAGAACCTTTGTTGCCAGAATCGAAATCGAAGATGGATGAGTTGAGAAATATTCTCCATTTTAGCGAAGCATATGCATTGAGACGGGTAAAATTTGGGTACTTTGTTCCTCTGAATGGTCACTTAAACTAACTGGGGGATCTGAGCAAGCTCTACATTTCAAAGTTGAAAAATTAGAAAATTTGTAAACATATTTTATTATCAGCAATCTATGCCAAGTCCTCTCGTTTAGACGGGCAAAATGTTTGGGCAGAATTGCAAGGGTTTTATGAGGCACATACTGGAATTCCATGGATAGTTGCCGGCGATTTCAATGTCATACGGAATCTTGAAGAATATGAAGGAAATTCTCAACCTGATAGAGGCACAATAGATGATTTCAATCGATGGATTATTAGCTGCAATTTAATCGACTTGCCTCCGATAGGAAATCTTTTCACTTGGGCTGGGAATCGTCAGAATGGGAAAGTTCTTAAAAGGCTAGATCAAATTTTGTTTAGCACTGAATGGATGGCTCTATTTCAAGCGTCGTCATTACACCATTTGAATCGTACGGCATCAGATCATGCTCCATTTTTTCATCAATTTTGGATGGATGTCGAAACGTGCCCCAGTATCTTCAGGTTTCAGAAAATGTGGTTATGCCATGACAATTTTTTGGAAGTTGTTCAAGAATGTTGGGGACTGCCAACAAATGTGACCGGCATGGCTGGATTTTCCTTGAAGCTCCGTCAGCTGAAGGCATGCGTAAGTGATTGGAATAAGACTAATTTCGGGGACGTTTTTTAGAACTTAAAAAATGCGGAGGAGGATGTTCGAGTTAAAGAGGCAGTTTATGATCAATCTGGGGCTGATTGTGACAGAGTTGAGTTGCATAAATCGGAATCATATCTTCTTTTGAAACTCAAAGAATATGAGGATTTTCTTCATCAGAAATCGAAACAAAAATGGCTGCGGGACGGGGACGCTAATATGGCTTATTTTCATGCGTCCATGACGGAAAGAAAAGGAAGGCTTGGTATTCATAAAATTCGGGGGCAGACTGGTAATTGGTTATTGGGAAGAGAAGATATAGAAGAGGAGGCAATTTCTTTCTTCAAGGGGTTATTAACAAAGGAAGAGACAGAGGAACATGAGGATGCTAGCACTCGGATTCTGAGAAATATTCCTACTATTGTAAACTCAAAGGAGAATGAATCACTTATACGGACTGTAACAATGGATGAGCTGAAAGAGGTAGTATTTAATTTGGATTCATCTAGTGCTCCTGGAATAGACGGATTTGGAGGTTTCTTTTATCAACATTGCTGGTCCATCATTAATCATGATCTCATGGATGCTTGCCTTGATTTCCTGAACGTTACACCATTGCCAAGGGCAGTTAGTAGCCCTCTAATTACATTGATCCCAAAAAAAAACTACTGCCACATCTTTTGCTGATTTCTGTCCTATTAGCTTATGCAACTTTCTGAATAAAATTTTCACGAAGTTGTTAATGGAGTGTTTGAAAATGGTACTTCCGTCTCTTATCTCGGAAGAACAGTCAGCTTTTTGGCCAGAAGAGACATTGCGGATAACATTCTCATGACTCAATGATACGAATCTTGAGGCAAAGGTGGTAGATTTACCTCGACGCGGAAGCTATGAATTTCCCAGACTTGAAAATTTGCAAATCCAATATTATGGACTCCACAACTCACGAAAATTAAAAGAAAAGAAGAGATGCAAACCACAAAAATTTGCACCAAAAAGGGATGGAATAGTTTAGAAGATGTAGAAAGTGTTTAAGGTTAGCAACCCAATCGGTCACCTCTCTAACAACCCTATCCCTTCGATTTATGAATAGAACGGCTAGCGAAAAGGCTCCAATGAACAACTAACAAAGCTCCACAAGTAGAAAAACACCTATTCTACTTGCATGCATCAACAAAGCACAAGCTTGTGTGCAATGCACTAATCTTCGAAAAGAGTAGAAAAAGAACAAAGAGTTTCCTCTCGTCTCATATTGAAATATCAAATTCATCAAAGGTACAAATGAAAAGCTGGCCAAACACCCCTATTTATAGTAGAGGGGGCCGAAATTCTTCTATGAAGTAGGAGAAGAGTTTGATCTCTAACTCTATTCCTACTTTAAAGAACTAGAAATCAACGTAACCTCTAATTGACAACTTGTGTCTTATCTATTAAGGCAATATATCTAGACACCTTTATAGACTTAAGACACACTAGTCTAATGAAAATAAAACTCCAAATACAAAGAGATATTCTCTCAAAACAATCTTATCCTTATCTTGAAAAGAATCTTCTTGAGTTGTCAACTCTATCAATATCTTCTTTGTAGAGTAATCATAGCCATCCAATCTTGATCTAATCTCCATCCAACGGTTGAGAGTACACACCAAGGAATAGACTTCTTATTTTGAATAAACTCTAAATTAGATAAAAGAGAATCATATCAAATCTTATCCTTCCATGTGATAATATTTAAATGATCTTATCTCTAAAAGATAGGGAATCTTCCAAATCTTATCATTCCACAAGTGTGATAAGATTTAAATGATTTTATCCCTAAAAGATAGAGATTCCAACTCCTAAAAATTAGGAGATAGGGCCGGCCTCCCTTGCTTGGTTTGTGGGCCGAAATTTCCTTCCTCAAATGGGCCTTGTAACACATTAATAATCTTGGACTTGTAACTTCCAGACTTGACATTCTCTTGGACTAAATGATTTGATATAAGATTATTATGTGCACTCCTCATCCTTTTACTTCTAGCTTCAGTCATTGGACCTCCAATGTTGGATAATGGATCTTGAGCCACTCAAGAGCTTGGACAGTACTTGGACCCGAACACTTTGATCATCTTTGACTTGATTACCATGGATGTTCACATCATTCCCTCCTTCCTCGAAAGGATTCGACCTCGAATCCAAAGCTTGTACAGGTTTAGCATCTGAGAAATCAAACGGAGATAAATCAGAAACATTAAAAGTCACACTAACATTATACTCACCGGGAAGGTCAAGTTGATAAGCATTGTTGTTCAAATGCTTGATAACTTGGAAAGGACCAGCTCCACGAGGATCTAACTTCGATTTAACCTTTGTAGGAAATCGAATTTTCCTTAAATGAACCCAAACCCAGTCACCAGGTTCGAATATCATTTCCTTACGCCCCTTGTTGGCAATTCGCGCAACATACTCATTTCTCTTCACAATATTCATGTGTACTTTCTCATGAAGAGAACGTACATACTCAGCTTTCTTGGCTCCATCTGTATTAAGATACTCAGAAACAGGCAATGGAGACAAGTCTAAAGGGGTTAAGGGGTTAAATCCATAAACAATTTCAAACGGAGAATATTAGGTAGCAGAATGCACAACACGATTATATGCAAATTCAGCAATAGGCAAACAAGCTTCCCAATTCTTACGATTCTTTTGGATCAAAACACGAAGCAAAGAACCAAGAGTCCGATTAACCACCTCCGTCTGGCCATCTGTTTGAGGATGAACAGTTGTTGAAAACAACAGTTTTGTACCTAGTTTTCCCCACAAAGTTTTCCAAAAGTAGCTCAAAAATCTAACATCTCTGTCAGACACAATAGTTCTAGGTAAACCGCGCAATCTAACAATTTCACGCATAAATAAAAATCAGCTACATGCTTGGCATCATCAGATTTATGACAAGGAATAAAATGTGCCATCTTAGAAAACTTATCAACTACCACAAAAACTGAATCACACCCTTTTTGAGATTTAATCCCAAAACAAAGTCCATTGAAATATCAGTCCAAGGGTGCGTAGGTACAGGTAAAGGCGTATATAACCCATGTGGTTGTGACTTAGACTTTGCTTGTTTGCACTCAATACAAGTAGAACAAACTTTTTTTACGTCACGTTTCATATTAGGCCAATAAAAATGCTCACATAAAACATCATAAGTTTTCAAAATACCAAAATGACCCATAAGACTGCCACTATGCGATTCACGCACTAATAGTTCAAGCAGAGAACAAACAGGTACACATAATTTATTATCTTTAAACAAGAAACCCTCGTGCCTATAAAACTTGTTAAATGCGCCACTTTCACATGCATCAAAAATGGATGAAAAACCAGAATCAGTAGCACACAAATCCTTAATGTATTCAATCCCTAATAACTTAGAATCAAGCACAGAAAGTACATACGATCTACGAGACAATGCATCAGCTACCACATTCTCTTTTCCCTTCTTGTACTTAATGACATAAGGAAAAGATTCAAGAAATGCACTCCATTTAGCATGTCTCTTATTCAGTTTGTTTTGTCCATGCAAATATTTCAAAGACTCATGATCGCTATGGATAACAAACTCTTTTGGCATTAAATAATGTTGTCAATTTTCTAAAGCCCTAATTACAGCATACAATTCTTTATCATAAGTAGGATAATTCAATATTGCACCACTTAATTTTTTTCGAAAAGTACGCAATAGGCTTACCGCTTTGCATGAACACAGCACCAATTCCAACCCCAGATGCATCAAACTCAATTTCAAAAGTAAGATCAGAATTAGGAAATGCAAGAACAGGAGCACAAGTTAAATCATTCTTTAAAGTGTTAAATGAAAGTTCTTGTTCTTCACCCCATTCAAACCTAACATTCTTCTTTACTAAGTGATTTAAGGGTGCAGCCTTAGTAGAGAAATCCTTTACAAACCTTCGATAAAAACTAGCTAAACCATGGAAGGAA